ATAGTGGCGAGTCACTTCTGCTGTGATCCTGAGTGGTGTCTGAACTGACGGCATGCCCCGCCGCCGCCCCGCGCGGAGTCGACCGCGGCGAATGTCCGGTCGGCGCGGCCCGCTCCCCTCCTCCCCGCAGCGGGCAGTCGCTCCGGGCGACGAGGGCGCCTCCCCGGCCGGAGCGCCGCCCCGGCGCCTGGCACGGTGCCGGCGCTGACCGGAGGGCGTGTGGGAAGGTGTGCCGGCCGCTGTCCGGCGCGCCGCCGCGACCTTGGCGTCAGCTGGCCGGTCTGTGCGGCCGCGGCCGGCCGGGGAGAGGCGGGCAGGACGGGGCGGGGCGGGGTGCCCCGGCTCCGGCCGCAGTGCAATAAACCGGTCGCCGAGGGGCCCACAATAGGCTGACATGGCTTGTGTCGAGCGACCGGACCGCCACGGCGGCGAATGCAGACGGATATCCGGTGTCCACGCCGCGGCACGCGGCCAGTGCGAGCCGCAGCTGCCAGCCCGCCGGGCGCCGAGCCTCAACACAGCGAACACTTGGATACGGCCTTTCCAAGTGGGAATCGCGAGAGAAAGGAATCGGACTCCCACCAGGGGAAACCCGACAACGTTCATTTTTCTGTCAACTCGACAGGGGTCACTGGCGATGACCAGAATTGAACACTTCTACAAACGTAACATCGATGTGTCAAATCTGGCTGAAATGCACAGGCACCGGCCTAGAGCCAGCAGATTATTGCTCGTATGACCACGAAGACCGGCTATCAATGTGTGCGATACGGCCCAGTTTTGAAGCAGTTTATTTCGATGCTGCGCATGCCCAACACAGCTCCACTCACGACATTCACGGCGCCGGCGCCGCTCAGATACGATCCATACACGGTATCTTCATCTCCAGACTCCGCAGATGGCCCGGCCAGCCCACCAGCCGCTATCTAACGGAGCGGCGCTCGGCTGGAACATATCAAGTTCACGGCCAGGCCGCCCGCGCCCGTCCGGTCGGCACCAACAGCGGCTGCACGGGGACCAGGCCAACCCCACCGGCCAGACGCTACCGCGAGGCAGCCCATGGCTCCGCGCCCCCCAGGACATACGACGGGGCCATTGAGGGGGGGATCAATACCGAGTCTTAACACGCGATCCTTGCTGGGCCGCGTGGAACGGCAACAACAGCGCGCAGCGCAGTCGTTACTGCCGATGCAATGTAAAAACAACGGGAATAACGGCTACAGCGAGCTGATGGGCATGACCGCAGGACGCTGAAGGAGGCCCACTTAGTTTAAGTGCACCAGCTAAGCTGGCATGCACCCCTGCGGGTTTCCACCCCGTGTCCGTTGTGGAAGCCCTGTTTCTGTTGCGGGCCTCCGATGAACGACCGTGTCGTTCTGGAGAAATATATACGCAAATATCGGCGCCTCTGCATAACACCGCAGACCATTACACTCCGTGACTGTTGTGCTCCGATCGAACGACAGCGCCTGGTCAGTTGTGGATCGGGCGCGTAATGAAGCCAAGGACACTCACGATTATTTATTGTGGATCAGATTGAGTAACAAAACAGTCGGGCGCCCGGTTAATGTCACTTACAACGGCCAAGTTCTTGATTTAGGGACGCTCGACACCACGCCAAGTTACGAGCATTGGCAACATCGCAAGCCAACAGCTCAAAACGGCAACACGTCTTCCGCAATGTAATAGATGACGACACATGCATCACTGGAAGAGACAAATGGTGACAGTTATGGCCCCGTTCACCACGCGCCTATCAAGGCTGCGCCGAACACGCTCCCTGATTAACAAGGTCGATAACATTGGGCATCGAAAACCAGGCGGAGATATAACTGCCTAGCTCTAACAGCTAAGTGAGCAAGGCCGGAGAAGACTGCCATAATATGTTAGCTTACGCGCAGAGCCATCCCCCTCCCCCCCCCCCCCCCCCAATCACCGTTCAACACCTTGCCAACACACAGCTTGGACCAAACAATGGGCCCCCGTTGGTTAAATTGTAGCTTGGTGACGGTGATTATCAGTAATTCACGTCAGCAGATCACTGCCATACATGAAGTACTAGCACAGGAACATGAGTATCACAATCGTTAATATGACGCGACATGTCCTATCTCTTCACACCGCCGCATGGTCTCACGTCAGGAAAATCCTCCATTAATGGACTTGGTCAAATCCAACACGCAGAGCAAAGATCGCCAGGTCAGGCGTTGTGTTGCGCTCGCGTTTGCTTTCTTTCTCATCATTAAACTCTACCCAACACACAGCACCTAATACAGATGCCCGGAGACCACAATATTGTGCGCTGCCCATGGCGCCAAAACTGTAGGCTGCTTTAAGTCGTTACCATCAACGCCCCTCGTGTTCATTTTTGCTGAGGTAGTGGGAGCAGCATAAATAGAAAAACGCATACATCACGCACTGAGCTTAAATGAGTTGGAGTTGCGCAGCTGACAAGGAATGCAAGCGCAAAAATCGCGCCCTTCGAAATCACGCCACTGTTTACATCACATTGGATAGTGGCGAAAGCCAATTTTTTGCTTCCCCTAATGTAACATTCCGGTGTCAATTCTAAAATCTAATTCCTTGAAACCTGCCTGGTTCCACCTGGGTTGTCAATTTTAAGGGACATCAATAAATTTGCCATGATTTACGAATTTGACAATGACGACGAGAGTGCATGGTCGACTTGATAAAATTTGTTTGGGCTTGAAATTAATCATAATCGACAAGAACATGTTCTCCAAAGTTTTGGTGCCTCAACATCTCCCAATTCATGCCCACTGTCTTGCATTCCAAGTGGCTTTCGATTTTCGAAGGCAACATTCCGTTCGCTTACTGACACACCTTTGAGCTCGACAGTTTTGAAAAGCGTTGGTGGGTTATAGCGGGTACATTCGCCAATAACATGTCGATTCGCGCTTTCAGCTGCCCTGGTTGCTAAGATCTGACCTTGATAAAGAAAAAAAACTTACCAAATGGGAGGAACCATGGTTTGCGCACGACCGCGCGACCTGGTCTCCACGCACCTACCCACGCTTGTGCGGAAACGATCGTCTGTTTTTCCCTCAGCTAGTTTTTGCTAATCTCGAATTGATGCGGCCCCGGGAAGTCCATACCTGGGCCTGGTTTCGAGGCGTGTTTTTAAGCTTTTCTATCAGAGACGTCCATTCGATCACCTTATTTCTATTTCCAAACACAGAAACTTTCCTGCCATAGATATCTGTGGTATGATACATATATGCTCACTGTAATTTGAATTTTTTATTCTATCACGTTACCTCGACGGCATATCAAATCTTGGTGACATTGCAAGTGTTACAAGAAAAGCCCACCTGATCAAGTTTACAGGCATACGTCTAAAAATGCATACATCACAAGCTTAGTGAGTTGCGCTTTGCGTTGCTGAAGAAGCTTGGACTCGCATCCAGGGATTGCAAATACATTAGCTTCAAGGCAGCGTGGCATGGGGGCCGAGCAGCGCGGCACAAGTTGACAATGTTATCATAGTTCAAGTGATACCCGGCCTACGGCCTCGCTCTAAATCACCATACACAAGCCATTAGACATTTTTTACCATTGCAACCATGTGTAGAATCACAAAAACAATCTCTGATGTGGGGCCTTACCACTTAATGAACACGCCTTGCACATGTGTTGAAAAGAGTCGGGTGAGGACACAGGACCAGCCGGGTGGCCGGCTGATATTCTCCAGCGCGGCTTCTGGCACACCTTTTGGAAGATTTGGTCACACAATACTTGTTTTAAAATCCACTTGCGGCCTTGGACATTGTGATGGGTAAGTGGCGATGAGTTTTGACATGCCACGGCCCTCCTGGCCCCGAGATGCCAGAAGTCAGTAAGACAATTCTCTGCACAGTATTCTGCTCACCCAATGCTATCCTTTCAGTGAAACCTGACTACCATATTTAGCGGCCCCTTTACTACGAAAACAACATTTGGATTGCAGAAGGGCGTCATTCCTCGACTGCCGGGGCTCAAAATGGACCAAATCGGACACGGTTAGAATTTTCGGCGTCCACAGGTGTCTATTCGTTTATGCATGCACATGGGCTACATGGATTAGGCTGCCGTGTATTAACCTTCCTCGCACACCACATGTAATAATTACGCGCCCGAGGCAACGGGAGCCAAGTTTATCTGCGGAAATATGATGGCAGGGGCGCACGCAGGCTCACGCTAAAGTGGGGGAGGGGGAAGGGGGACTCTAGCACGCCACAATCGCGCGACGTCATGCTTATGTTCTGTTGTGAGGTCATGCCGTGTTCGTGATGTCACGTTATATTTTACGACGTGATGTTTTGACGTCAAGCTAAGTTACTCTATATACCTCTGATTGGTAATTGCCCGTATTTGTTCACACGCACGCACACCTTAATACATCAATAACCTTAACGGCAGGGGGGGGGGGGGGGGGAGGGCAGGCGTCCCAAGGGGCCACTACTTGAGTACGCCCAAGGGTGATAAGAAATGAAACGATAATTTGCCACACCGGACCATGACAACTTGGACTAATTCAACTATTCCAGCACGATGCAAGGCATGTGAGCACTCTAGCAGCCATTATCAAATATTCCGGAACTGCTCTTTTTAGCCGGACGCGAAACTCCATACGCCAGCAATGTCGTCACGGTTGACAACAAGTGCGCAAATGTGGGCGGTCAGCAAGAGTATTCGATTGTTAGCATATTGCTCAAGTGTCCAGACCCCACCAAGTCCAGCCACAAAGCCTGCGGACAGCACACAAGCCGCAGCCAGAGGGTCGAAGCCTTTGACGGATCGACATATCGATGATTGCCGTCAGCAGCGGAGCGAAAGCGAGGCAGAGCAGGGTATTGATCGCGGACAGACGCGGCTGGGCATTCGCTCTGCTTCCTGAGTGATCCCCTACCCGGCCAGGCGCCTGGAATGAAACCGCAACCGCGCCGAGTTGGCAGGCAACGTTCATCTACAGTACTGCGGTCCACGGTCGTAGAACTCACCTTTCCATTGGTCGAATGCCACCTTGTTGTTCTGCCACGGGACTTTTTTGTTGAGCAGGCCCGTCTCGAAGAATATCCGGTTCCCAAACTTCAAAGCGACAAACCTGAGGGCCACGACAATGGCTTGCTTGGCGCAACATACCCGAAACATGATCTGCATCACTCACTATGATAGTCCGGGCTAGTCGCAGAGACAACATGCCTCAAATCATCACACGCAGTTGGCACAGCACATGGTGCAGCCAGAAAGCTTCGCACACTGCAAAGCGTCCTAATTATCTGCAGCTACACCCTGCTGTAAGACATAATTGGTATCCACATCACTCGCAACTCCCCGCCCACGTCGAGCGAACAACCAACCCCTCCCGCTCCACCATGCCGTTCCGTGCACCAGTCACCGCGGCGCGTCCCCACCACTGACCTGAAGTAGTCCCTCCAGATGAGCTCGAACAACACCCAGTACGTGGACTTGTTGGCGGTGCGCTCCGCCTCGTAGCGGCGCACCTCGGAGTGGATGTGGCGCGGCGACAGGCAGCCGAGCGCCAGCCTGCGTACGGCACGGGACGGCTCAGGTCAGGGGCAGCGGCGGGCAGCGGGGAGAGGAGGCAGCCGAGCGCCAGCCTGCGTACGGCACGGGACCGCTCAGACCGGCAGCTCGGGGCGGGGGCAGCGGCGAGCCCGTGGGGGGGGGGGGGGGGGGGGGACGGTGGCGCGCTGGCCATGTGCGGATGACCCACAATAGTTGATGAGGTTACCGCGAGCGACACTGCACGGGCATGGGGCCAGAAGACGAAAAAACGTGACAGCAACGGGCCCCGGGGATCAATTATACGTCCTTTTACGAGACTTTCAAGACATTCAAGGCAAAATATCCCAGATGACACCTTTCATGACACCTGCACCAATCAGGAGTATAAATAAAGAAAACTTTACAACATACAATTCGAAAAAACGAGTGCAATAAGTTCCTCTACGAAACTGGCTGATAACTACCCGGCCGCCGCCAGCGCTGGCATCGCGCGCCACGCACCAGGGGCTGAATTTGGTGGAGTAGTCAGCGCCCACCAGGCCGTTGCGCGTCTCCTTGTAGGTGGCGACAGCATCCGTCTGCCAGAGGTAGTGGCGCAGCCGGTCGAGCGCGGCCGCCTCGCCGCCGCGCCACGGGAAGGCTGAGCGCGCGTCAGGCGCCGGCGGCGGGCCGTCCGGCAGGCCGAGCGCCGCCGGCGCCGGCAGCGGGCCCGGTGCCACGCCGGCCGGCAGCGGCCGCAGACGGTCCGGCATTGTGAGCGGGGCGCGCACGCTGGCCCGCGACTCCACCGCCTGCCGGAACTGCGTGTAGACGTCCGGCACGCTGCCGGCGGCGCCACGCGTCAGAGAGAGCCGTGATAGGGGGCGGCACACTCGCAGGCACTGCGAAAAAAAGCTGCACCGGATCAAGAGCAGGCAAGCTGTTACCAAAACTTTTCTGAATGGTTCGCAACAGTGAGTGGTTCAAAGTACGGCAAACGTTCCACGTAGCTTGTTCGGGCCAAAGGACAACGCATTAGCAGCAGAGGCGGCATGGCGGAGGCAGCGACGGCGGACCAGACATAGGCCTGATGGTGTTAACTAATACTGGCCTCCCTGGCACCTGACTGCATAGATTTCGCCACGCTGTGGCTTACGGCTGCACGAGCCGGTGGCAGCTGACCTCTGGACCTTGAACGGCAGGTCGTCCCGGTGGTAGAGCGTCGCTCCCCACACGGTGTGGACGGGTACGCTGAGCCGGCGGCACGCGTCAGCCAGAGCGCGCTCCACCCGCAGCTCCTCGTCGGTGGCCTCCTGCTGCAGCACCAGTGACAGCCGGTGGCCCGAGAGTGACGACAGCAGGTCCGGCACCGCCGACTCCGGACGACCCTCCCGTATTACCAGGTCACTGGTGATGGGCAGTGCCGCAGAGGTCAGAGCTGTCCCCTGGCTATCAGTATCAACAGGCCACTCTGAGATGGGGCATGGTCACAGTGCCACTCATGCTGATGGACTTTCTAAAAGCAGACAAGTCAGACTTCAAGTGAGCTTAACATGTAAGAAATGGTTCCTTCAATTTACAGCAGTTGTGAATTCCCTGGTGATCAGTACGAAAATCTTTGCAACATACCTCACTCTGTGCCAAAAATGGATAAGCCACTCATCCACATTGCAGCTCCAAAATCCCATAACAGTTCATGTTCATATATTTTGTAACTTTCAACAAGATCTGGTGGCTTTTTAAAAGTTACATGTCACCATTGATACATATGGGCATAAAAGAGACCATGTAAACCCTAGTACAAATAGCCTAACACATCACACATCAGTCAAGGGATCATTTTGGTGATTCACACTATTGCACACAATACCATACTATAATCATACTATTCCAGAACAGCATGCCAACAGATGCACATGGTGAGAACTTTGTCCTCACCTGCCATGCTTTGTTAGCTGGGCCCGCAGGTCCTCCAGGCTATGCAGCAGAAACCTAGCCCTGTGTGCTCCTGTCTTGGGGAAGCCGAAGTGGTATGTTGTCTGGAAGTGACGGGGGTCCAAACAGTAGAGTGGTACAACAAAATCTGATGAGCTATGGGCCATGTGAAGTACCTGCAACATCAAACATCATCAGCCAGCATCCAGAAACAAAGTTCATAAAGGGTGGTTGAGGAAGTCCTTCTCCTTGCAGGATTTCTTCAGGACTATACTCTCCACCTTGCAATTGGTAACCCTCCTAACAGCAGGCATATCAGTCCAGTTACTTCTATCTCTCCTCCAACCTTTGAGACATACATTTCTCTACCCACATCTCAAATTGTACTAAATTCTTGAATTATTCTATATTGAAAATATTGATCTAAGTATTCCTTCTAGCAAAAAACTCTGAAACATCATAATCCACTCTGAAAATGGGTTTCTAGGCTTTGATATTGGCAGTAACCATGCACAGAATCCTGTAAATTCTTGACTTCCTAAACAAACACAATTTCAGCTGGAATCTACCTGCTGATGGATATTATGTTTCCTACATTGCCAGACATGTTCTGCATAACATGAGTGTTTTACTACTTGGGCACATTAAAACCATAAAATTGTTATCTTAGTGAGCACTCTTGCATGTCAGATACTGTACCTCATTATCCAGGTACCGGAGGTCATTTCTCAGCAAGGCAATGGCAATCCTCTTTCCAGACATCCTCCCCACCTTCAGAAAGCTTGATCACAGCACAAAATACGAGCGGAAACCTGAAGCAAATAGAGAAGTCAACTGCATGCATATGGTAGGGGAGTTTGTTCAATTTCCATTTGATACCTTCGACTGTGGAGTACAGCTTATCCCTGCCAATAAATATTGCCACCACCAACCCGAATAGCACAAACGTGCAAAAACGTGCCCCAAGTGCTTATGGACCAATATATTAATTTCCCAACCCATCTAATAGCAGCCTGACACCACAGCACCAGACCCGTGCCAATATTACCACAGCATGCGCTCCGCAAGTTTACGTTACATAATAATGACATGATTGCGTGCCGCGCGTTCATTGAGATTCAGTTTACGCACGGGCGCACCATTACTGCCGCAAAATCCGGGAAGGACTAAACGGCTGACAAAACCTACTGATAATCCATACTCCGAGCCGATAAAATAAATCACAACAAAATTTCACCAGTCGATGCAGCATTCTCAAAATACTCGTATTTTTGGAACAAAGTGGCCTTGGACTGAGTCCAAAGCAAAAAAAAAAAAAAACGCCGAAAGCTCCAGTAGTGAGATGCAGACATCCCCGCTCTCCCAGCCTATGTGACCTTACCGATGTCACAAAACCTTAAGAAGTCGATTGTCATCGTCAAAAATCTATGCTTTCCAGAACTTGGTGACACCGACTCATGACAGCGATCACCGGAAACGCTCAAACGAACAAAACATATTTTGGAAACAGTCCCATGCTCCGAGCCTATGGCACCGGTAGGCACAAAACCTTCGCCAATAGATACGCCATGATCCGTACCATATCATCCATCCATTCCATCCATAACATCGAGGTTTTGAGTCAGATCAAACCAAAAACGCCAGAAACCATCAGAAATTTGCTTCCAGACAACTCCATGCTCCCAGCCCATGGGATCGATCGCCACATAGAAGTCACCAATCGATGCGCCATGGTTCATTACTTGCGGCCCAGGGCTCCAGGACCAATCACAACAAATCCCCACCAGTCAACGCGCATAACCGATATCTTCTCCTTTCCAGAAAATGGTAAACTTGTGTCAGATCAAAGATGACCAAAAATGCGCCAACTCACCTGAAGCTAGCATGCAGGACGCCCTTTGGTCCGAGCTGATTGTACCAACCGCCACAACACCTCCACCAATAGATGTGCTATAGTTGATCATCTGGCTTTTCCAAAAGCATATGATGACTTGAGTCACGTTAGAGGTCGCAAAAAATGAAAAAACGGAAAGGCAGTAGTTTGTGGACAACCTTATGCTTCGAGCCCGTGGGGGGATCAGCACAAATCGTTTACCAATCGATACGCCATATGACTTTATACGCCATAACATTAGCCCCATGCCCGAGTCTACGAAAGGCTTCGGCACGAAACCTTTGCCAATCGATATGCCATAGTCGATCACCAAACCTTTCCAGACCATGGTTTCCCTAGCTTCTGCCAAATATCAACCAAAACGTCTGAAACTGACAAAAATCGTTATGCTAACAACCCTAGGCTCCGAGCTTATGGACCGATCATCACAGCACATTTGTCAATCGATACGCCAAAATTGATATTTTACAGTTTCCAGTTAAGTGATGACCTTTGATTGGGTCAAAAGTCACCAAAAACTCCAGAGGCACCATTTGGCTATTTGTGTCTTCGGCGAAATTTGACCGGACTCAGTCACCTTGTTCTGGAAAGGACGGATTATCGACCATGACGCATTCATTGGTATGAATTATGTCTACCGTTGTTTTAAGGCTCGCAGCAGTTGACTGTCTGCAGTCAACTGGGGTGGGTTAGGGCGTTCTTGGTGACCTTTGACCTGACTCAAAGTCATCATCTTCAGTACATGATAGGTTATCGACCATGCGGCATCGAGTGGTGCAGGTTTTGTGTCATTTAGTGTGCTCGGGATCTGGGATCATTTGCAAACCAATTTCTGGCGGTTTGGGGCGTTTTCGGAGACCTTCGACCTGACCCAAGGTCACCATGTTCCGGAAAGTATAGGCTATTGGCCATGGCGTATCAGGTGGTAAATGGTTTGCGATGATCTGGCCCATAGGTTCGGAGCATGAGGTTCGCACAGAATCCGTCTGCAATCCAATGTTTCCGGTTTTGGACACTTTTTACTTTTGACTCGGCCCAAGGTCATTTTCTGCTCGGAAAGACAGGTTATCGACAAAACGGCATCGCATGGCAAAGATGTTATGTCGGTCAGGCGCATAAGTTCGGAGTATGGAGTTCTCCGCAACCAACTTTTATGATTTGGGCGTTTTTGGCGACGTTTGACCGGACCCGAGGTCACCACTTTCTGGCAAGGATTATATATTTACTATATCGCATCGATAAGTAAAACCTTCACGGTGATGTTTGGACTCTGAGCATGGGGTTGTCTGCTCACCAATTTTTCCGGTTCTTGCAATTTTTGGTCATTTTTTATCTGCACCAAGGTCACCATCTTCCGGAAAGAATAAGTTATCGACCAAGTGGTATCGGATGATCAAGGTTTAGTTTCAGTCGATTCCATAGGTTTGGAGAATGGGACTGTCAACAGGTTTTGTCGACCGTTTAGTCCTTACGGGAGCAAGGGCTGAAAGAGCACATACAAATTCTAATACAAGGAATACATATAGATGTGAGGATGGAAATACAAGGAACACGGAAATTTACCAGAATGTCTTGTAAAAAAGCTTTTAATACGATATGTATATATATATATATATATATATATATATATATATATATATATATATATATATATATATGTATGTATAGATAGATATAGTTCACCAAAGTTGTGATCCTCGCCATTCACCACCTCAGTCTCGCGAACCAACAATCTCCAGCCACAATCGGGCAGGAAATCACACATGCAAATGATTTAGTAAATTATATTGTATCACACCCGTACAAAGTGACTTGCCAGGCGAAACAAAAGGCTTAACGCACAGGAGTTACGAATACTGTGGTAATGGACAAATACAATGCTGAATGAACCATCGCAGGTCCTCTCGCATCTGACTAGATCAAATAAAATGGGAATGGCACAACACCCACCTAAGACACGGCACAACCCTCACTGCGCAGCTTACGAGGCGAAGTTCGGAATTCCACCAATGAAGAGCTCACCGACGATCTCCTCTCGATGCCTCATTGGCGAGATGGCGGGCTGACAATTCAACGACGATACGAATTCGCACTCACACCGTAAAAAACCGCCATCGACGATATGTTTGGAATGCTGTCTTAACATAACGGATACACTCTTAACGCTCTAGATCGGTGGAGGTATTTCTCCAAATTTTCTCAGGTAGGAAATACGTAAGCAGACTTGCAACACTCATAACCACATAATGATAGATAACTGCGGAACTAATTACAAGTTGACAACATAACAGCGAGAGCATAAGACACGCGAGCATAGCAGTGAACGTCAGCACTACATCCAAGCCCATCCTCGGATAAGCAACACACCACAGTACAGAGGCATTGGGAAGTGGTCAGGTGGCTAACATGCCACCCACCAGACACCGGTCCTTACGCATCGGGGGGCACGATAATTCAGCAACAGGGTCTCTCTCTCTCTCTCTCTCTCTCTCTCTCTCTCTCTCCTCTCTCTCTCTCTCTCTCTCTCTCTTCTCTCTCTCTCTCTCTCTCTCTCTCCTCTCTCCCTCCTCTCTCTCTCTCTCTCCCTCTCTCCCTCTCTCTCTCCTCTTCTCCATCTCTCTCCTCTCTCTCCTCCTCCTCTCTCTCTCTCTTCTCTCTCTCCCTCTCGCTCTCTCTCATCTCCTCTCCTCTCCCTTCCCCCTCCTCTCTCTCTCTCTCCTCTCCTCTCTCTCTCTCCTCTCCTCTTCTCCTCCTTCTCCCTTTCCCCTTCTCCTCTCCCTCTCTCCTCTCTCTCCCTCCTTCCTCCTTCCTCTCTCCTCTCCTCTCTCCTCTCTCTCTCTGCTCTCCCTCCTCCTCCCTCCTCTCCCCTCTCCTCCTCTCCCTCCCCCTCTCTCTCTCTCTCTCCCTCCCTCTCTATCTCTCTCTCCTCCCCTCTCCCTCCCTCTCTCTCTCTCCCCCTCTCTCTCTCTCTCTCTTCCTCTCCCCTCCTCTCTCTCTCCCTCCCCCTCTCCCTCTCTCCCTCCCCCTCCTCTCCTCCCCTCCCTCTCTCTCTCTCCCTCTCTCCTCTCTCTCCCTCCCCTTCCCTCTCTCCTTCTCCCTCCCCCTCTCTCTCTCTCTCTTCCTCTCTCCTCTTCCTCTGTCTCTCTCTCTCTCTCCCCTCCTCTCCTCTCCTCTCTACTCTCTCTCCCCCCCTCTCTCTCTCTCTCCCTCCCCCCCTCCTCTTTTTCCCTCCTCCCCCCTCTCTCTCTCCCTCCTCCCCTCTCTCTCTCCTCCCCCCTCTCCCTCTATCTCCGCCCTCTCTCCCTCTTCTCTCCTTCCCTCCCCCCTTCTCTCTCCCCTCCCTCCCCTCTCCCTCTCTCCCCCCCCTCTCTCTTCCTCCTCTCCCCTCCTCTCTCTCTCTCCTCCCCCTCTCTCTCTCTCGCTCTCTCTGCTCTCGCCTCCCCTCTCACTCTCTCTCTGTGGGGGTCCGCACCAATCCCGAAAGGCCCCTTATCTCGGGTTCATCATCACAAGTCTGCGGTCCTGGCCGACCTGACTGGGAGAAATCCTCCCATCCACCTCTGCGTCCGCGCTCTGCGCCCCTTTTGTTACAGCGTTTACCACAGCCCCTCCCTCAACACCTGATGGCCTCCGCCCCACCCCGTGGCTCCCACCCGACGTCAGCGCCCTCTCCTCCCCGCCGCCTCGACTCATCACTCAGCGGCTCCGTCCAGAGGCCACGTCTGCAGGCGTCCGTCCAGCAGCGCGGCGGCCAGGCCGGGCCGGCGCGGGTGAAACGCCACGTCACTGACGCCGGCCGCGGCGGCGCGCAACTGCGCCAGCGGGCCGCGCGGCTGGCGCACGTCCCAGAGCCGCACGTGCGCCGCGTCGGCGCCGTGCGCCAGCAGCCGGCCGCACGGGCTCACGTGGAAGCCAGCCGGCAGCGCGCGCAGCGGCGCCGGCAGCCGCTGCGCCAGACGGCCGCAGCGGACATCCCAGAGGCGCACGCCGTCGGCCAGCGACACCGAGCCGACCAGGTCGTAGAGCGGCAGCGCGGCCGGCACGCGCGCCGAGCCCTCGCAGAGGCGCGCCAGGTGCGGCGGGTGCGGGTGCGCGCGCGCCAGTGTGCTCGCCACGCGGCCCGCCTGCACGTCCAACAGGCGGAGCGCGTGGTCCGAGCAGCAGACGACGGCCAGCGTGGAGCGGAACTGGGCGGCGCCGGTCACGTGCAACACCTCGCGGCAGGGCAGCCGGCACTGCAGTACCGGCCGCAGAGGGCTGGCGGCACGCGGCGGACGCTGTCACGGGGTGCTGGTGGAGCACGTGTACGTGGATTGCAATGTAGCGCCAAGTCGGAGCCAAACGTACGGAGCAACGCAGTTTTGGAGAGACGGAACAATGGCGGGGTAAGCCTGCTTGTAGTGTAACCGGATGCATGCTGCCAATGAAAATCTGGGCACATGTTATATTTGAGTGCACTGATCCGAAACAGTTGGGCTTCAGGTTCATAGAAAGCCTTTTCACGCATTTTGTTATGAAGATCAATAAGGTGATTCCTCGACACGTCCGCCCAGGAGCGCCAGGCAGTACTGGAGGCTACTCACCTTCGCACGCCGTCACCGTCGGCCAGACGGAACAGACCGACAGTGTCGCTCCAGGCCGACAGGACGAACTCGTCCATGAAGAAGAACTGGGCAGCGGCGAACGACGCCTTGGCCGGCGGCCGGAGCCCGATCGTTTCTCCCGAGGGGAAGCTCCACAGGTGAAGGCCGGCCGCCGAGGTAGCCACCTGAGGACAGCAGAGACGCCGCGTCAGCACCCGACACACAGCTGGAGGCCAACACAGCTTCAGCGGAAACAGCATGGCACAGACAGACAGCGAGTCAGCCACTGAAGCACACATAGGCGACACTATAAAGGGCCTGGATTGTGACTTTAAACATATTCAACGCGAAGCGGCCACACTTGACCTTTAAAAACGTGAGCGAAAGGCTGACCACCTACAAACACGCTGTTCTTCCCCGAGACCGACTGCAGTTAGCTACGGCACATAACAAAACGCAAACGCCCAGTGCATAACATAGTCACCGCTGACCAGTCTGTCGCTGCCCAGGTTCCAGGAGACGGACGAGACGGGCCCCTGCGTGCCCATCAGGAACTTGTCCTGGGTCACCGCCAGGCCAGTCAGTCGTGCCACCTCCAGCGAGCGGCCCAGCCGGCTGGAGCAGGCCACGTGACGCCCGCAGCCTGCAGAAGAGGTCACGCCACGCCACGGCGTCACGCGCGGCACCCCGGTCACATACCCGCGACGTCGAACAGGTGAGCCGTCACAGATCGTTAGTTGTGGAGTTTTACGGGCGCGTCGACTGCATTGGCTATTTGCACCCGTCTCAGATCATCACCACGTCATTCCAACCCATGAGAAGCTGAGAACCGAAGTCAACACCACGAGCACTAGCCGTGTCCGTGGCATGCCTCGGGAACGATGAAGCGTGCGTGCTTCGGAAACGGGAAACGGCGCATCGCAACATCACACAGGACCACGGGCTGACAAAAGCAAACACTGGCCAATGGATGGCCGAGCGCTGCGCAGCGCTCATCACATGATACTCTGAGGTGGGATGAATGCCGCAATCCAAACAAATGGCCACTATCTGCCCTCAAAATCCGCCATCCATACCAGACCGTCCCTTGAGCCCGAACGAACACCACATGACCGAGCGCAACAGCGGGTGCAGGGCTGGAGCTACTGACCGGAGACGGCGATCCTCAGCAGGGTGTCGCCCTCGCGGAGGATCCTCAGCGGTCGGCCGGCCACCGGCGCCGCCACGTGACACCGGTACGTGGCGCTGCACTGCGCCAGCGGCTGGTCACGTGACGCCGGCGGTCGCTGCTCCGGCGATGGCAGGTTCGAGAGGGACAGCCGAGACGGACCCGGCTGGGGAGCAGTGTCTATGAACTACACGTGGTGACGGTGGCGGCTGGTGAGGGCTGGGGTGTCAGCCGCTTCAAATGCACATTTACAGGATAACATCGAGCTAGCTTACATGTGATATGCATCGATGCCGGCGGTCTGTGACGATCGAGACTCTAGCATGTGTCTCCTGCCACCTCTGTCCGAAATGAGAGCCGATTCTAAACAGAGCAGTCGTGATGCATTGACATTTCCCACACCACACTCACCCGACATCCCATGAACCTGGGCATACCACACACGCCAACCCCCAGCGCTCCTCTCCTGCCGCCCCTCGCCAATGGCCAGTCAGCCGCGCCTGTCTTGCGCCACTCCCCCCGTGATGTCCCGGCGCCCACCTTGGCGGCGCGGCCGGCGTTGGTGCGCGGCTGGAACATGGTTCGCCGCGGCGCCGAGCCGTAGCCGGAGGAGCGCACCTTCCGGGCCGGGGCCGCCGGCCGGGGCGGCGGCGCCGGCGCCGGCCGAGGACGCAGCACGGAGCCGACCGGCAACGGCGACCTGGGGGTGCGCCTCACGTCAGCGGTGAGGGATTGGCCCGCGGCCCAGCGAGGAGAAAGAGACGCGGGAAGGATGGGTTAGAGCAGTAGAATCTCAGTGGATATGCGTGATCCATCGCGCGATTCACTATGTCGGGACCATTGCAGAAATAATATAACCAGGGCTCAACTGGTAACGCTCTTCTTTGTTTGGCTGCTCCCTTACACATGATATGCACTGGAGGTTGTAAAGGCACGAGTCTTTATTTGAGGCCCCGGAAGAACGGCCGCCAATCGACAGCTGTCAAACGTTGTACAGTGGCAAGGCGGACATCAGCTCGGGCATAAAACGAGCCATCTGCACCCATGACATTCCATTTTCTTATCACTACAAGCGGCCAAGCCGCGCGTCGCTGCCTTCAACCCCCACTTGCTGGTCCTCGCGAGGCAGCCCCCAACAGAGACGGCGGTCTCGACCACGGCAGCACACCTGCAGACGATGGAGAGCTCGCTGAGCTGATCGTCCACCACGTCCGCGAGCACCTCCAGCGAGAAGGCGGCCACGCGACCCTGCAGGGCCGACCGGCCGCAGACGACGGCAGCGCCGCCCGGCGTCAGCGACAGCGAACTACCGCCCCACGGCTCCGGCCCTGCGGCCGCGGGACGGCGGCTGATGGTCACAACCGCGAGCGTGCACACACCGGCCACCAGTCCCACAGTGGCACCAGGGCAGCACGAGGACACCACACACGCGAGATGTCACGAGGATGTCACGTGACCGGCCATTTTTTAAAGAGAACACGACGTGCATCATCTCGATCCCTTTATGGAGCGCCAGCGACTGCGTTGGGCATATTAACGTTCAGGGATCATGGCGCAACTGGGATTCGAACCCGGGCTCAGCGCGCGGGGGTCCGACGCACCAACCAACCGGCCATTACGCCTTCTGACCGGAACCCGACGAGCCGGCCGATCGCGCCGCCTTCGCTCACGGCAAACCCATTCACTCGTATCGAATCCCGCGCCGCGTTTGACAGCCGGCCACGTGCGTCGGAATCTCCCGCGCCATCTGTGCGCCGCTCGGCCCACGCCGGGACGCCGCGCCTGGCCGTCCGGCCGGCGGCCGCTCGCGAGGCTCACCGGTGCCGGGCGCCGAGTAGACGGGCAGCCAGGTGCGCGGGCTGATGACGCGCAAGCCGTCGGTGGTGGCCGCCAGCAGCAGCGAGCGCGGGCCGAACAGGGCGGCGCTGGGCCGCCGCAGCGCCAGCAGCGCCAGCAGCGCGCACTCGGGCCGCGGACTGGCACTGCGGCCTGGCGGCGGCGGCCAGACAGCGTCAGGCGGCAGAGAGGCGGCGTCACGGAGCCTGGACAGTGTCAGGCGGCGTCACGGAGCCCGGGCAGCGTCAGGCGGGGGACAGTCGGCGTCACGGAGCCTGGATAGCGTCAGGCGGCGTGAGAGGCGGCGTCACGGAGCTCGGACAGCGTCAGGTGGGGGACAGTCGGCGTCACGGAGCTCGGACAGCGTCAGGTGGGGGACAGTGGGCGTCACGGAGCCCGGACAGCGTCAGGTGGGGGACAGTCGGCGTCACGGAGCTCGGACAGCGTCAGGTGGGGGACAGTCGGCGTCACGGAGCTCGGACAGCGTCAGCTGGGGGACAGTGGGCGTCGCGGAGCCCGGGCAGCGTCAGGTGGGGGACAGTCGGCGTCACGGAGCCCGGGCAGCGTCAGGCGGGGGACAGTCGGCGTCACGGAGCCCGGGCAGCGTCAGATGGCGGAGAGGCGGCGTCACGGAGCTCGGACAGCGTCAGGTGGGGGAGAGGCGGCGTCACGGAGCCCGGGCAGCGTCAGGCGGCGGAGAGGCGGCGGCACGGAGCGACTCGGCAGGTTATTACAATGACGGGCAAACATATAGTATGCTATGAAGTGATACGAAGCGACGGCAACCCGTCGCTAGCAGATAGTTAAGATGAGTGATAGAAGACATCTAGAGCCAGCGGGCGGCGACACTGGGCCCGATTCGAGGGCCAGTTCACAGCCAGGTGATCACTAAGGCCATGGCGAATGGGGGCTCCTGCCACGCACGGCGGGCGCTCTGACGCCAACGCTATTCACCCCGACACATTCAGCACAGCCAGATACAAAACCCTGCGCCGTCTGGGAGCCATGCCAGACGACCAGCGACGGAGTGCAGGTCGGCGGCCGGCAGCCGCGCCCGCAGCCGACCGACCTTCTGGGGCGGGCCTCTCCAGCTCGGCGGCGGCCACCTCCGTCCAACGGCCGGCCACCTCGCCCATCACGGCCACCTGGGAGCCGCGGCCGGCCGCCAGCAGCCCGGTTACCCGGTCAAAGGCCAGGTCACCGGCAGGGCGCGGGGTGACCGCGTGAGAGGTGTAGAGCAGGGTCGGCCCAGCCGTCTCCCACACCTGGCCGACAGGGAGATCGGAGTCAGACACGACGCTCTAAAGTCCCTCTCAGAAAGTCCAGAGACCAAAAGGTTGGCTGATGTAGGAGCTGTGAATTGAACCAACACACTTAAACGTTCTAGTGCGAAAACAAGACACGAGCCCGTTTTGTGAAGACGCAGTGTTGTGGAAACAATGCATGTGCGCATGATCCTATGATACATTTTTATTTAAACTGGTGCGAAAAAGCATAGGGATGATGAATGAACTAGCCAAAGAAGAAACCGGGACCGTAAGTATGGGGTTTTGTGGTTCCCACAATATGGTGGAAGGGGTTGTCTTACCTTGACCTCGCCCGATTCGCTGCCGGCCGCACAAATGGTGCCCTCGAGGCGGACGCAGGTCAACGTACTGTCGTGACCTCGCAGGGTCATCAGGTGCTTCACGCGGTCCGTATCCAGCAGCCAAACATGTTGACCCACGCCGAGCGAGAGAACAGCAGCAGCGTCGGCAAGCTGAGGTTCGCCACCAGACGATAGATGGCAGCACGCCACCGTCGAGAAGTCCTCTCCGAGCATCACGGGCGCTCTGGTTGGCTCTTTCGAAAGATCAAACAACCAAACTTCAACACTTTGAACACGAAATCCAACACGTTTGACATTCATTAAAACTTATCGAAGAGCTTGCAATATAACTCAATCGGAACAAACAGCAGGATGGCACACAAGGCCTCCAGGAATTCCAAATAAGCTGCAGCATGTTGGTGTAATGCTACGCAGCACGACATGCCCCGTGAAAAATATGCAGTACTTGCCTCGTAGGTCCCACAGAAGTATGTTGCGGGCGCACGTGACGAGGAGGTGCCCCGAGCCATCCTGGAGCGCCATACACTCCACGCGGGGATGTGGCAGCGTCCGGCTCTCCACCGACTGAGAAAGTATTGAGTATGAAAATGGAACAATGGTCACCGAAGGATATAAGGCATTGAGTAAACATTTTGAATCCTTAAGTACTTATCATTTAGTTATAATGACGCACAAACCTCATGCATCATACAGCATTGAGACCATTTCAATTAACAGGTCACCCCTTGTCAAAGCACAAACAGGTGTGCACCACCTTTTCATGTACATGGCGTGGGCGACCGTCACCATGACCTCCATGGCAGCGTTAAAATCGTGCGTTATCACGGCGCCTACATGGGATCCCGACCAGCCTCGCCCGCATTGATCGCTCTCCTCTCTATCACCATTTAACCATTTACCCCGCCCCCTCCCCCAAGTACTCTCTCGCCACTTTTCTGCAGGTGTGGCCGCCCTTGACGCCAACCCGCCGGCACCACCGTACCTGTGCAACCAGCGTCGTCCCCTTGTCCAGTCGCCACACCAGCAGGGTCGCCGCGGCCGTCTTGGCCACCACGTAGCGGCCGTTGCTGTGCACGTGGCGCACGTGCTCGTCCGGCAGACCGGGCAGCGGCAGCGGACGAGGGACGAACAGTAGCGGTTCGGTCAGCGCCGGCCCGGACGAGCCCTCGGCGGGCGGCGTGGCCAGCACGCGCGAGTCCTCGTCGGCAGAGGGCGCATCGGCCGGGCCCTCGTCGGAACGAGCGGCAGCTGCCGACGACGCTCCGGTAGGGTGCGCTGGGGCACGCGCTGCGCCCCGTTTATCGGGCGAAAGGCGGCCCGCGGCCGGACTGGGCACCCGCGGCATCCCCGCCAGGGCGGCGGCGGGAGTACGCAAAACTCACTGGCGTCCAGACTACCGACGCCGCGCTGATGAACACAGGACAGCGCAGATCAGCACAGAGTTTCGAGGCTTCTACCGCGTCGTCCGCTGATCTATGGCAGGCGACCCAAGGCGGGGATCACAGCTCAGTGCCACCACCATCAGCCCCTGCAATCGCTAGCGATGTGCAGGTAGTCCTCTTCACTCGACCTGAGTCTAAAATCTGCGATAACTTATCACTATTGTTCCCGTACTAAAGCAGTCTCACCCGACTCACGAGTCGAAGCGGGGGCTCGCCTCAACTGTCGCGGCGTGCAGCCTCACGCCCATTCGTCACCCGCAGAACCGCCGGTTCTCTACAATCAATCACCTCGTGTCTCGGACCTCTCGCCTCCGACCCGCTCGCGGTCCTCAGCACCACAGTCAGCCCGCACCACGGCCCTTCAGCGAGCCGCCGCCGCGCCGCGCGCGTCCGGTTAACTGCTCGCCTCTCCGTCACCGCCGGCGGCCTCCTCCGGCCGCAGGATCAGCTGAATGCCGCGGTACACGTCGCGTAGCTGCGCCACGCGCGGCCACGTGTGGCGGAAGAGCGGCACGAGACGCGGCGGGTGGCGCAGCACGATCGCCAGGTACGCCACCACGCGGTGCATGGTCAAGGCTTCGGCGATCACCACGTCGCTGAGCCGACCGCGTCGGATGAAGAGCGAGGAGCGCCGGCCGCTGGCGAACGTCGTGGTCAGCTGCACGCCCAGCGACGACTCGACCAGCAGCGTCTCCCGCTTCACCTGCGAAGGCCGGAGCGCTCGGGTCACGAAGAGGGCGCAAAACAATGTGGGTCAGGGACGGCGCGGTGAAATGAGGCTGTCACGAAAATCCGGGGATAATTTTAATAACTCCGTGAAATAGCCTACTACCATTGCACCATGGCACGAGCATAAACAAGTGGCGAAATAGCGCGGCGGTGATATCAGCAGCACGATAGCAAGCTTGCGACTGAAGGTGAGCATTTACACTGGAAACACGTAAGTGATGTCATGTCGAATCACTTGGATGAAAATATTCAATAGCATCCGCTACAGCCTTTGGAGCGGCTAAACTAGGAACCGCCCGATGCAATAAACGATGTATATTTAGCACCTAACAAAAAAGGTGAAAACCAATTACGACATCAACCTTACAACATCAAAGAAACGCAATCCGCGCACAACGCACACATCCCCCAAATAAAATCGGTGAGGCAGCATCATGCCATTTTTATTGGGCACTTCCAGCATCCGTATTTGCACAGCTTCGAAACAACATGCGACTAAATCAACCCAAGCTTGGATGGAATATCCGTATTTGCACAGTTTCAAAACAACATGCGACTAAATCAACACAAGCTTGGATGGAATCGATTGAACTATCATTCATCAGCGGCACTGACAACACAACTCCCACGCGTATATGTGCAGCACACGCTTCTGCCTCCTTCCTGTCCCGCGGGGGCCTCGCATCCGTCCGGTGGCGGCAGTGAGAGCAAATTCAATTGGAGTAATCCTGACCGATACGACAGCAAGCCATTTCTCCGATTGCATTGCGCAATATGAGCTGTCATAGCGGCCATATTGGCCGTGTCATCGAGCTGAACGGATGAGAGAGCTGCGAGTTCCGGCGGCGGCAATCTGTACCTAAAGTGGTGCTCCGCGGGGTGGTCAAGCGACATATGGGTTCAATAGTCCTTGAAGAGGATTGTGAACCCACTAAATCCATCCACTGAGAAGCACGGACACACAAACTTTGGGAATTATGTCTCAGCCAATTCTAGCCGATACAGGGACAGCTTTGAGTAGCGATAATGTAGCGTGCTGCTCCAGTTTACGTGATACATTCGCTGAGACTGTTCAGACACCGAAAACGCCACACGGTTCATATTTCATGACATGCAGAATGCTCCCAACGCACTACCACATGAGGGATTATCCCCCCAAAAAAGACATGCTAAATCGTAGCACGCATCAGAACGAATGCAGAACACGTTACCCAGGCGCCAGCAAGACGAGCAATTTGCTCATTGCTAGACTTGCCGGAAAGGCCCCAGCTTTTTAAGTCAATCCTGAGAGCACGTAATCGTTGGTGGGTTCCAGTCATTACCAGAGACGCACAAACGTCCTAACGAGTGGGCTGGCCAAAATCATCTCAAAATTCCTCAAGGAATCACTACGATGCTATCCTGAGGCTGCCCTCCTACGTCACGGCAAGGAGGCTTAACGGTCCACCCGGTTCTCCCCATCCCGTGCCCATTTTCGGCAGAATCAGCCCTCCTTGCGCACCGCTGTAACACCCCGCCGCGTCGCCGAGCGCGGCCGGCCGCCGCCCCTCACCTTCAGGTGGAGCTTGGCCAGCAGTGCCGCCGTCAGGCCGACCAGCAGCGCCACCAGCAGCCGGTCGTCGAGCGTGTGCAGGCCGAGCCAGAAGAGCAGGGCGGCGATCAGCGCCGTCAGGTTGAGCCAGAGCGAGACGCTGAACGGTGCGCCGCTCACCTCGTACTCGGCCAGGCGGCCCGGGACACAACGGAGCACGCGCACCATCCCCGCCCGCTGCCGGGGCGCGCCGGCGGCGGTCAGGTGCGGGGCACGGCCGCCTCACTGCAGCGGAGCACGCGCACCATCCCCGCCCGCTGCCGGGGCGCGCCGGCGGCGGTCAGATGCGGGGCACGGCCGCCTCACTGCAGCGGAGCACGCGCACCATCCCCGCCCGCTGCCGGGGCGCGCCGGCGGCGGTCAGGTGCGGGGCACGGCCGCCTCACTGCACACGCAGGGCAGCGACAAGAACGCGGACAGCGCACACAAAAAAAAAACAGCTACGGTGCGTTGGTGATCGTGAGGGTGTGCGTCTACAATCAGTTGCCAATTCCTTTCACGCTCTTGTAGTTGGAATGTACATTTCCGGTGTGGTTTGGAAGGGCAAATCTGGTGCCATTGGCAGCATTGTGTCATTACGGTATATTGTCCATGCCCAACCAAATGAATTGGACGGCTAACGTAATCTATGATATTATCCGATGTGTGGAATTTGTTCTTCAAAATAACTAAGCAAACATTCTGACACTGTACAGTGCATATGACTGGAATCTACTTCACTTTGCGATAGGTTTGGAACCGACAATATTGACCTTTTGCATGGCATTGTCCGGGCGAAAATTCACGCATGCAAAGGAAGAGGACAGCCGCTACCGAACATCGCCACCAATGGAGGTAAATGGCAGACACTGCTGCTGCGCCTAAAATAATTGAGAAGATGAATTCCCCGTCCACCATATGTCCTCTGGGGCGCAAAAAACCTGCGTAGTTCATGTGCCCTTAAACCAAAATACATTTCTTATATATATATATATATATATATATATATATATATATATATAATATATTATATATATATACATATATAAGAAATGTATATATATATATATATATATATACATATATAAGAAATGTATTTTGGTCGGGTGCTGCAGCTGAGCCAGCCTCGCCGTGCCGCGATTGTTTTCGCCCGTCCAGCGGCGGGCGCGGCGCCCCGGCCGCCGCGCATGACGACCGTAACCAAGCGGCGTCCCCACCACCGAGACACCCGTCGGCCGGCCGGGTCGCCGGGCCGGTCGCGGGGTCAAGACCGGCGGCAGCAGTGTTACTATACCCCTCACTGGGTCACCCCTTACCTCCAAAATGGTGTAAGATGGAGCTAACGCAGGACCCAAAACCAACGCCAATTAACGTGTGCTGTTCGTTAGCCATCGGTGGGCCCTCGCTGATGGGTGGGCAGTTCCTTTCCTGATATTTCAAGATAATTATACATACTTAAGTCATCCGTACGAACATATGCAGCCAGTCTTCGAGATACTATTCAGTGCATCCGCGTGCTGCAAGTCTACACCAGTGACAGCACCGGAAAACAGATCCATAATGGAAAATTCAAAATTGGTCCACATCTATCTCATTTATTACACCTTTGTCTCATTTATAAGTGTTTGCTGGTTGAATAAAAATACACACGCATGCACACAGGCATGGGCCCACACATGTGACATTTCAAGTATGGTGCATTACGGGTGCAATTGCGGATATATAATTGCTGTCCATGGGGGAGACTCGCCGCGATTTATAGGACGAAAATATGCATAAGTCACCCATGCCCCATGCAAACTGTTTGGAACAACTCACTTAAACAAATAAGGATGGGTGGCTGTGTGCAAGATAGTGAGTGACTGTGCGAAATGGGCTTGAAATAAGCAGTGTTATTCTTTTTCCTTACGAACTCGGAATATTTCAGGTGTGCTGAGTGGTATTCACCAAATAGGCTCACCACGGGCTCCTGGTATGTCGCATGGCTCTAAAAGAAAGGAAGCAAATCCTCAGTCTCATAGAGGCTCAATGCGCATCAACTACGCTGCGCTAGACCAAATACACATCGCATTGCAGTGCCTGCACAATTACTACAGCGTGTTGATTCGGGTTGCAATGGGATCAATACACTTCCAATATATCAAAACCCTCGCACATTGCAAACATTTCCGTATCAGCTCAATGACTAACTTCCACAATGCGGTACTCAACGGCCTACCTGCATATGGCTAATGAATGGAACAGGAATACCGACATGCGTCTGATTCCAAATCAGTAAAATCTATTCTCCTTCTCTCGAACTCCATCACCAACGCACCCTTTCGAGTTAACCATGATACCCACCCCAGAATATTTAGCCACATTATGCGATCACCTGCGGTAGAGCGGGTTCCCTTTCAGACTATGGACAGCGTAAATGCTAAATGCATCGGTAAAATAGCCTACACACTACTGAACTCGTCATTCCCCTCACTAGACATCGTGATATGTATAATTATTGACACGCTTCTGATTATGAGAAAGCCCCAGGCCAAGGAAGTCTGAAGGCCAACTACGCCGTAAGGTTAAATGACTGGACATCGTACAGCTTCGACGGTGTGGCCCGGACCGGTCAGGCATGTTCCGATGAGTTTACATCTTTTCTTTCATTGCTAGTACTCCATTCAGTTTTCAACAGTTGGGGAAATTACTTGTGGAATGTTGTGGAATGTGTTTGTGGAATGTGTTTTGTGAAAAGTTGTGGAAGGTGTTTTGAAGGCATTTTCATTCCAGCCGTTTGATCAGAGTACCAGTTTTTTTTTTTTTGCTTAACCCATAAAGCCATAAAACTGTTACATGTTTTACATCAATATCACAGTTCCAACATGGTTTCACCTGGCTGTCTGATCGGCATAAGAAGCATATAACCATCATACTGTGAAACACTGTAGCACATGTCGGAACCAGGCTCAGATCTTGACAACCGACAACCCGACGTCGCAACGCCGATCTTGATCTTGACAACAGACAACCCGACGTCGCAGCGTCGATCTTGATCTTGACAACCGACAACCCGACGTCGCAGCGTCGATCTTGATCTTGACAACCGACAACCCGACGTCGCAGCGTCGATCTTGATCTTGACAACCGACAACCCGACGTCGCAGCGCCGATCTTGATCTTGACAACCGACAACTCGACGTCGCAGCGCCGCGAAGCCGCCACAGTTTCTCGGACGAAGAACGGGCAATCAAACTCAAACAGGCGGCGTCGATGTGTGAAACCGACCAAATGCTCTCTTACGCAAGCTGCTGACCCGCCGGCTGCGGCGCAGTTCTAGGGATCGATGTTGGATCTAAACAGCCAGAGCAGATAAAGACGTGAAACTGAAACGAGCAGGTGAATCGGAAAGTGTCATCTGCAAGTAACGAGGCGATCTCAGCGCTGCTCGACCCAAAGGTATGCCAGCAGTGTGCCAGTGGGCAGCCTTTCCCGAGCCCAGCCTCGAATTCAACAGGCCACAGCCTAAACCGAGACAGATTGGGGAGAGAAAACGTACATAGGCATACAGGTCACTAGGCCATTCCAAATATTGGGCTTCCTTCATTAAAATTGCTACGTCTTGCCAAGCCTGAAGCCATCCGGTTTTCAAGAAGCGCCATTCATATACGCGTTCGTGAACACCACACATCAGTGCACATCCGCCTGTGTCACAGCCGTGGAACACCTAGACATCTCAATGCAATGGCATGGTCAAATTACGGACGCGACCGCAGGACGAGCAAGTCTTACTTTAACAGTGCTGAAAAAGTCCATGTGGGCGGCCCCACCCAGCTTGGTGGACCCGGCAAGCTGTCGCACACGCCATGTGTCATGTCATGTCATTGGGGCTTTACGACGCACTCAGCTTCTGAGGCTATATGGCGTCGCCTGCCTCTCGCCCTGGCAGGAAGGGCGGGCACCGCGGGGAATCGAACCACGTACCTCTGGTTTCCCAGACGCGCAGTGGTTAACGCAGACCCCTTAACCACCACACTACCGGCACCCCTCGCACACGTTATGAGATAATATGTTTGCAACCACTGGCCACGGCTTCGGGAGATTTTCAGCAACGCAAAGCACAATTCTTTGAAGATTGCTTTAGGGGCACGTGAACAGTGCTATAGGTTTTTATTTCCGAGCATTTGCGTACACACTGTGTAATCTGGCATGATTATGTCCTTGAAGCATTACGATATGACCAGAGCCGGGATTTTCCTAAACGGCTGACACCTGAGACGTAAAATTTGGCATTTGCAAGAAAGCTGGACTAACACAGTCGAGACCGGAAGCGGATTTTGACAGCTTGGCGTCGCAGCGATGTGGAGCGCTTTCGACGATACAAGACCCACAAACTGTGACCGAAGACAGAATGAACGATCTCATGGACACAGGTGTCAGTCACATAGGTCACATGCCTGATCACATGGATAGCATGCCCTCAGGTGCAAACCACGCTCCAACCATTCTTTTCGGGGAGCGTTCTTAAAGGGGCTGCTCCACATATGTACGGGTTTTGAACTGAGACAGCCACGTTCATGATCATTCTCTGTCGTTCACAATCATGCCATTTTTACGATTTCAAAGCCACTCATCTTTGGGCTAAGACGCGCGCGAACTTGTGCAGCCCATTTCGCGCCGCGTATTTGAAAGTCACCCACCCACGTGTGTCCTCACTGAAACGTCACACGAATTCCCCACCTCAATAGCCACATTGTGTTCAAGATCCAACACAGCATAGTCAAACCAAATTCGTGTCTGGAGAACGTAAGCACGAATAGCAGCATCGACAGACGGCGCCCTGGTAACAACCAGTATTAGGCTGGTGTTTTTTGTTGTTGTGTGTATCGAGCACAAACCGCGTTTTGAGATATAGCACAAGCACTTGGGTAGTTTTGCTGGCTATGCCGGGCATGAAGATGAGAATCAAAGAACGTAAGAACAGCGCTGTAACCGAACATACAAGTGCAAGTAAAAAACAACATACAATCGCGGACAAATCTACACGAACACCACGAGAAAACGCCAATCACACGCTGTACCGCTTATAATATAAACACACGCACAGACACCAACGCCATCTTGAGGCGCTTGAAGTACCACAAGTGAGAACACCGTTCGCTACAGCAGCAATTCTGACACCGCCAAGCTGGCAACGACTATGACGTCATAAAATGTGTCATGATGTATCCAAATGACAATGTATTGAGGAGCAGTTTAGTTGATACTGAAATTTTGTAATATACGGCAGATTTTTGAACTTAAAGATATATCAATAGCCACAAGTAATATTCTTTCAATTACATTGGATGGGTGTTTCAATGTCGTCAAATGTGGAGCACTGTCTTCGAACGTTAACATGCGCTCGGGTGGGAATTCAATTCAACCCCGAAGGTTTTTCCGCAATAGTTTCCGAACAGCGCGGCGTAACTGTGCCAAATTTTTCAGAGATGTAGAACATTAAATAGCGGATGGCGTGGTATCAGATTGTACAGTACGGTTGTACGGTTTATACCTTGTGCGGTTGTTGACCTGCGGCAGATCCAAGTAAGGCCATGGATTCAGCAAATGCAATTTCTATGGAACTGTTCAATCTGATGTAGCAACAGTGTTAGATGACGCCACACATCGCTGAGATGGTTTCTCAGGCAATGCGACAATGAAAAGCACAAAGTCCATTGACCAAAGGCCAGGTATGAAGGTCAGGCCTAGGTCAAAACCAACTTATTTTATTACTCTAAAGCTTTTGTATGGGGGAGTTTCTGGTACTCCTTTCAAATTCATGGACAATGGGAACCACATTATGCATCTTCAATACACTTTATAAGGGTCAGGATGGGTTACTGGCCTTAAATGACCTGGGTCAACATTTTATTTTCAGGAACAAACAGCCTGGCATAATCTTTGAAGCTTATTCAAAAGCAAAGCTCTGAGCAGTCTTGCACGATTTTGGTCATCGTGACCTGCAAAAATTCAAACAAGGTCACTTAAGTCATAAAAGTATCAGTAACTTTTTGGTCAGAACAGGCATCTAGGTTCTGGGGCACTTTGAACACCAATTTGGAGTTTGACCTTATTTGACTTGACAGTTATGATTTGGGCACCACACATTTGGACACAACTGAGTTCACATACAGGCCAATACACCCTGCCAACTTAACACCTTTAGCTCTCTTAGTTTCTGAGATCTCAGGGGGTCAAATTCAATGATTCACTCCCCACCCAAGCAAATGTTACTCAACTGGCAGGTGCATGTCATGCATAGCACATATATTTGTCTGCCCAAAGAAGACCTCCAAACTCATCAAATACTTTAAGTTAGTGACTACCCATAAGTTTTGGTATCTATTTTTGGCCACTCCTCAGCCCTTTCCATTCCTGGGTATGTTCTGAACATGCTGAGTGGGCACCCTACTGCTCATACTGTGTTCAGTCTGCACAAAAATCCATCCACTGCAATGAGTTCCACAAAGAAAGATATGTGTGTGTGTCATTGGGGCTTTACAACCCACTTAGCTACTGAGGCTATGTGGAGTCACCTGCCACTTACCCTGGCAGGAAAGGAGGGTACTGCAGGGAATCAAAACCCTGTACCTCTGGTTTCCTGGAAGAACTGTGTAGCCCCTGGTTGAGCTAAGATGCTGTAATAACAAGCATGCTCCTTACAATAAAGGGAAGCCAATAGCACCTGGCCTTACAGTTAACACTTTTTTATACATTTCAGCATGACTTACGGCTGCACCTAAGTGTGACACTAATTGAGGGAAACCCTGCTCCCTCCTTTTGACACATACACATAAGAGCACCACAAGTCAGTAAAAAATGCAACATAAAAATTGTGGCAGAAACCAGAGGCAACCACCATGAACCCCTCCTGAATGGAACGTTGCTTCTGGAATTTTTATATCAGACCTTACAGTTCGCTTCACGAAGTCTGCCTGGCTACAAAACGCCAATCTAAACCTGACAGACCCACGACGTAGCAATAACAAACATCCATATCTTACCTGATGATTCCGGTTGTTTGTCTTACAAATAAGCAACGTTAAATTTATTGAACTTATTACAAATCCCGCAAAGAAGACCGCGTCCCACGGCATTTTCGTCAGCAGCGCCACAAATGACTTTGGTGCTTCGTCATTGTCAAAAACCTCATAGTCTTCTTTTAATACTGGACCTCTGCCATTAAATACCCGTAACTAAATATTGTCCGTATCAGTAGGACGTAGATTAAGTTCGGAGAAGCCGCGTCATGTCCCTCCAAACACGCCAGCTAATCATGTTATTGCTCACTACACATTTCAAAACGACTGTAGTCTGCAGGAAGACTCTCTAACAAGAAAGGATTTCAGGACCAAAAGAAACGCCAAAACTTATATTGTCATTTTGTCAATGCGGTGCCCGATTTCACAACAGATCGTGGCCGGCCCTAGTCTCACAGATTTAAACAAAATTGGTCTCGACATTTTTTTCTGCTGCATAACCGTTCCAGGTAGTTTTTGGAGTGATTAAACGGTCTACAAAAGCTGTTGACAACTCCTTGCTCCAAGCGCATGCAACCAATGGACATGATGTTTTCACCATTTCATGCCGCTTGATCAATAGTCTACCCTGTCTAGAAAGTGGTGACCTTGGGTCACGTAAAAAGTCACCAAAAACTCACAAAAGAGGAAAAACCGGTTTGCAGACAGTGCCATGCGGCGAGCCTATAGAGTAAATCTCCACAATACTTTCACCGATCGACGCGCCATGGTGAGCATGCTATTTTTTCCAGAACATGATGGCCTCGGGTCAAGTCAAACGTCACCAAAAACGCCCCAGACCACCAAAATTAGCTGCAGACAAGCCCATGCTCACCGTCTATGGGCTTAATCGGCGCAAAACCTTTACCAATGGATGCGCTATAGTCGATAACCTGAACCTTAAATTGCTGGAATTACAGCACGTGGCGACTTTATGTCAGGTCAAAGATCATCGAAACTACCCAAAACCGGTGCAAATTATTTTTCAGGCAACCCCATGTTTTAAAAGATGTAATCGAGTCCCATAGCCCACGAGCACATGGGGTTGTCCGCGAAACAACTTATGGTGGTTTCGGGCGTTTCTGTAGACCTTTGACCCGCCCCAATGTCGCTATGCTTTGATAAGTACAAGTTACGGACCATGGCACATCAATCGGTAAAGGTTTTGTGTCAATTGGTCCCATAGGCTTCAAGAATGGCTTGCCCACAAACCAGTTTCTGATGGTTTTGGGGCATTTTGGCAACTTTTGACCTGACCCAAGGTCACCATGTTCTGGAGAAGATAGATTGTTGACCATGGTGCATCGATTGGCTTATGTTTAGGGCAGATTAGTCGCATAAGCTTGGGACATAGAGTGTGCCGAAATGAGTTAAAAACCGAGCGAGGCCATCCCATGTATGCCTAAAACGTTCACTCTTTTGCAGAATCGATTAGTGAAACAAATAAATTATATCAAAAGGTTTGAACCTGCGCGCCCGCAATCTCGGAAGCAAGGACAGCGATGGTCTGGGTTGCAATTTCCGTGAAACCGAATGGCGTTGGCCAGTGCAAGTACCACCATACGCCCCGCACCAGAGAGACCGTCGTGAAGTGATCGTTCCGAATGTCTTTCAAAATTAAGTCGTACCGTTCAAAGAGTAAACTGAGCGTACCTTTTAGTATTAACGGCTTAGTATTAACAACAAAATCGACACTGTGCGGCCTATGGAGACTGCAGCGCCGGGCATCGAAGTTTTGACTAAGAGTTCCGAACGCACATGTTCAAAACTACGTACACAATTTGTATCCCCAATCGACTTTGACTGGAAGTTGAACATTCCCGGGCAAACGTGGCTTGGCCAAGTTAATACAAATTATTTAGCCATTTCCATCTACAATCTACATTCGCGGGGTCCCTTATACCTCTGTAGAATCAATATAAAAATATAAAAATATAAAAATTCTGACCAAGCTTCTGATACCTATCGGTTTAAAAAGAGTCCACTGGATCATTGAAAAATAGTGAGCACCGCCGATTGATTTCATGCACTCGCTTAACGTATTGTTTTATTCAGTTCATTGACTACAAAATTCAGTCAGCAGTTATCTATCGTTAGTTTCTGGGGCCTGTCCCAGCTGTAGGGAAAATAAAGAAAGAAAATATAAAAAGCGTGCCCTCATTAGCAAATGGTCTATATCTGACGATCTTGCTTTCCTTTGGGGAGGAGTTCCATGGTTAGGGGGGCCATTTTCAAGCCACCCCCTGTGCCCCCTCCCCTTGGCAAAGCTCTGCCTACGCGCCTGGCTAAGAGCATGGAGCATGAAGCATAAGAGCATTGTCTGTAAACAACCGTCTTGTCTGTCCCGTTTTGGGCATTTTTGGTAACTTTTGACCAGACCTGAGGTCCCCATCTCCTGGAAAGGATTAGATATCGACTATAGCGCATCAACTGGTGAAAGCTTCATGGATATCTGTTCCGTGACCTCGGAGCATGCGGCTGTCTGTAAACCGATTTTTTTCGGTTTTGGGCTTTAGATTATCATATTCGCATCATCATATTCGCATGTTGACCAAAATGTTTATTAACATGACGCATTCCACAAAACTATTGTATTGTAGTTTACCTGAGATCTTCATAGTTTGTTCACCTGGTGGTGTTATTCCCTCATCATCCAATGGCACGCCATGGCCATCATTGACTTTTGAACCAACTTGACCTTACACTTTGGCCCCGGCAAAATCCGCTCTAGTAGCCTAATTTGCTGGCTTTATTAAACCATTATTCAGAAACTTCGCTTCTTCGGTCGCTAACAGCATGGTGACCTCAAAGTTAATTACAGGTCACTAACCCTGTTTGACCTGAAGGTTTTCAATTTGAAACATCGTGCACCGTGTTAGGAATTTGATGGTCACATTTGCTCTTTCGCTCTGTAATATGATTTGCACACTTTTAGTGACAATGATAATCTAAACATCGCATAATGGGATAGCGAACAAATTGACCTTATATGACATTGACATATAATCTACGACAGAGACGCAGGCTGGCAGTCAAAAGCGGAGGTCCGCAGTTCGGTTATTACGCAGTACGTCAGTGTTTTACTTTCTGTCCAGAGCCATCCATGGGAGAAACCGAAACAATCCGGGCCTAAGTGCGCCGCACCTTGGCTGCGCCTCTGATGTAGGGTTAGCTGCATGACCACCGTCAGTGAGCGAGCTATCGTGTAAGCAGAACAGCACAGATCAAATAGACTGAGAATTCACGGATCTTCAAATAGAATTCGCTAATCTTATTACCAGATTTGAGGACGTTGATCTGGTCACTGCAGCCATCTCTCCAGCCTGGTCACACCTGTCGTCCTCGGCTGCGGTCACCTCCCGCCTGAGATTCCAGGCACGAAGCCAGTAAGGTAATATTGATCTGGTTCTGTTATCACCTCGTCGACATGGCCTCAGGCAGCATGCGTATACTACTGCACTACGTGGACGTAAATAGCACAGGCGATGGCTCGGGCTTTCAGGCGACCCCCAGCAGAATTCAGGCCGCCGGTAATTTCCCCCAGACAATGCTGTCCCAGCTCCAACTGTTTGTGTAGCGAGCTTTGGTCCATCGCTGTTGTTTGGCTCATCAGTTCGAGCATGGTTCAGTAGCTACACAGTCTGCAGCTCTGACAAAACCTTTGCAATAGCTCGGCCCCAGTCCAGCCTCCAGACGGAAGTCTTGTTTTGCACTCGAAATGTGACGTTCCTTGATGCCAGAGCTGACAGCAATCTGTTTCTCAACCTACTGGCCAGTGCTATCTACGTCACGCCCTGCCCGTGTCGGGTCCGATCAGACCAATGCAATGTGGCGGAACTAAAACGCAGGTGTCAACGATCAGAAAGTGAAACAATGAGCGCTCTCCGCTAAAGCGAAACGCCGTTTGATGGCTGGAATAAGTGGGAAAATACTGGTAAAACGACCAAGCGTCTAACTCGAGTGCTGTTTTTGTGATTAACCGAGCAGCGTGACAGGGGTTTTAAGTTCTTTTCTGTCGTGTTTACTTCGCTTATCCTTCGATCCACAGCCACATCCAACTATTCATTCGATTAGCTCACTAGGAAATTACGTATCGCTTCACATTCAGCTGTGCAACCATACCAAATTCAGCGTGACCACTGCAGCTTCACCTCTCGCATCACCAAGGTGGACAGCACTGAATACTGTTCCTAACTCACCACAGCGCCCGTGTTGGTGCGCCCCGCCAGTGGACGCATCAGGGCAGACAACACATACTGCCTGTCACGGCCGGCGCCGCCTCATCCGCCCGGCGCCGCTCTCGGCAGTCCGTAAATGACCTGTCGGCGCCGGGCGACGGCGTGCCGACGCCGCGTGCGGCTCCGGCGCGGTGTAATATCCGCCGCGCGACAGGAAGCATAGCACCAGCGGTCGTCGGCACGCCCGAGCCGGCGGCCGTCGGCTCCTGGAGGAGGCGCGGGCCCGGCTGCGGGCGCAGGGACGGCAGGCGCCGCGGCCTCGGCTGTCGTCAGCGCGCGCTGACGACGGCAGTTCATGGGGCGGTGCGAGCGGTCCGGGTCGTCGGGCGTTTTGGCTGATGTCAGCCGAGGAGTGGACAGCTCTCACTGTGCCCTGGCCTGTGCAGCGACGCGACGTGGTCGACGGAACACGTGTTGTAATCGGAGCGTGCGTATACTCTTGCAGATTAATCGGCTTTATGTCGGAGTCAGTCCCAGATGCCTGGACAGACATGCGGTGGCAGATCACGGAGATGTGACCCGCAGTCACACGCCGATCCGATCAACTTTGCAGATTGCTTCGTTGGTGATGCGTTGCAGCCAAGCTGAGAAATCGATGCAGCGTGCATAAAACACCATATATCGGACGCGATGTAGACCAATACAAACATACACGATCAATTAAATATTAGCCAATTTTTTCGCACGTTCTGAGCTGCGGTTGGCCACCTTGTTACGAGACTTACGGTATCCGAAATTTATGAAAATGATGGTGCATAAC